TATTAATCAATAAATTTTGCAAATAAACGCCCGCACCAGAGTTCAAACATATACTTATCCCTCTAATATTACATTAGATACTAAATGATATCCGTAAACTATTATAATATTTAATTTCACCCGAATAATAATTATCGTAAACTTAAGAAAAAGCAATCGTTTTAGTATTTGATAAAATTATCAAGCAGAACTTGATTTAAGTGATATAGAAGAAATAAGTTGTGATAACTGATTTTATAAAAAGTGCAAATCGTTTTTGCACTCTGTCCCCGATCTTAGTCTTGAAGGAAATTTCTAGAATGTCGTATAGCATCGAATCTGATGTCTAAAAAAATAATAGGCGATTACCTAATCACTACATGCTACATGAATATATGAAAACAACGTTTTGTTGTGAATGGAAATAATGGTATAGCAATTGATGAGTAGTGAATATATGCATTTATCCATAATGGAAATGGAAACATCACCCGAAGTACGATATATATACACAACAGGTATATTTTTTGATACAAGTTCTGAAAAGTTATATAACTTGCACTAGACTTGAGTTCCATATAATTGAACATAGCATTCAGGAACAAAGAATCGGGGGAGGGGAGGGGGTTCGTACGAATTATGCAGACGGGAGGATCTGAACGTAAAAGAGTTTTAATTTGTTCATTGAAAGTCTGATTGATCACTCCCCCTCTTTTTGATACAATATAGTAAAATCCCTCCTATGGACCCTAACTATCCCCCTTCCGAAGTAAGATATGGATTTTGCAGTATTCTCCTTTTTTCGGGGGGAGGACCCTGTCAGAAGATTTTTTTCTTGGAAGTTGTCATTTTTTTTCATAATAACACCCCACTCCCTTCTTCAAAAATTGAAGATAAGTGCCTGACGTATACATGTATATATATATATATATATATATATATATATATATATATATATATATATATATATATATATATATATATATATATATATATATATATATATATATATATATATATATATTTCTACATAAGAAGATTTAGAAATTACAAATGAATACAACTATTTATAATCTTTTTAACCCCGCATCTTTCAATGCGTTTAGCTAGAACCTCGCCAATTTTAAACAAGAAAGATGACATTATTTGCCAAGTTTGTATCTATTAATCATTGAATCATATAATTAAACAAGTAATGCTGCTTTTCAATCAATACAATGATAAAGTCACCTGAGGAGTAAAATATTCACCTTGCCCTTTGAATATTGTACTCCTCAGGTGGCTAAATCATCGTATTGACTTGAAAAAGCCACAGTAATGCCCAGGAGTCAAATTTAATAATAGAAATTGTGAGCAGGGCAAACACGAATTTAACCAATATTTTTAATAATCAACATGAAAATTCTTACAGCCAATTTGTACCCTCGGTCTGATTTTACATTTTGAGATCAAGACATAATGAGTGTTCATTAGTGAACAGTTAAGAACAATTAATTGAAAATGAAAAATATAATTTTCTTTTATGACACAAGAGGATACGAGAAAATGAGCCATTAGCATGATATATTATTGTAGCATCTTTCAGATTCATACTTAGAGAATCCAACATTTGGGCCTGTTCGTGTATAAATAATAGGACCCTTGTCAAATAAATTTGCCACGTGACTCTTTTAATACCATAACTTGTCAATTGTCATTTTTGGTTGTGTAACTTTTTTTTTTCAATTTTAAATATCCCATTGCTCTACTTGTGTGTAGAAAACAGAGAGCGAAGGGTACACCCTTGATCCCCTAACCCCAGTATCAATTCTTCTTTAACTGAATGCATTTCTATTTTAAAACGATTAAGATATAAAGTGTATTTATGCCCATAAAACATGTCCACGTGATCTAAAAACATAGTTGGGCGCAAGGGAAAAATGTTAATACTACGTTGAATAATAACCGACAAAATACAATTTGGTAACGGGCAATTAAAAAAGACCATGAACTACCCTGCTCAACCGCATCGTTCTGACTCTTCGTCAGAATATTTTTCTAAAATTTATTTTCTACAGAGTAGGGCCCATCTCTTTGCATATCGTTACTAACTCTTTTTAATCATTATTTGAGTTTACTTGTAATCTGTTTCCTCACAGATCGTCTTCGTCTGATACGGAGTATCTATCCACTGAAAAACCGGGAAAAAACTGAAACTGATTTCTTTTCAACGACTCAAAATATTAAGAAATTGATTTCTTTTTAACGACTCAAAATATTAAGTCATAATTTGGCATATGAAACGATGCAACAATTTGTAATAGGAAACTAAGATTTTTTCCGCTTTTATGCCAGTTTGCAGACATATGATTACAGAAAATATATAGTGTATTGCTTTTTTAATTTCAAAATTTTGACCTGTGGTCCTATTTTGGCGTTTTAAATTTTAAATAAGTTTTTAATATTTCATGACATATTTAAAATTTTTATTATATTTCATTCGAATTCATTTTTTGAACAGTCATGTTTATTTAATTTGAATGTAATATGACGCTAAATAAATAGTATGACAGAAGTTCTCGAACCTTTCAAACAGCCCTCGTTCAGTATATTCCAATATAAATTTGTCGTACCCTAGCTCTAGGGGCAATTACATGATTTCCTTGAATCCACACCACATGGGATTCTGAATATTAATATACTGTGACTCAGTTGTTCGGAGAAGATTTAAAATAAAGAGTTCTTTTTGTATTGTGTATAACTCTGGCCCTCTTTTAAAGCTCAACCCTAACCCAAATGGGCAATAATTTGAGAAACTTGAATCAACTACTTGATGATGTTTGTATATCAGCGAAAAAAGGTTAAGATAACGAACAGTGATTGATCTCCAAAAAGAAAAAAAAAACAATACAAATCTGTGAACAGGGCAAATATCACGGACCCCGGAAATTCCTGCGTCTAAGAGCATCCCTTGTCGACTGGTCACACCCGCCATTAGCTCTATGTATTAATCAGTCAAAATACGACCCAATGACTTGCTAACAAGGTCATTATAACGACCACAGTATTTACAAAATACTGATTTTAAACGAGTTTGTTGAAATTTATTGTTATAAGATATTTTTTCTCATCTATTTTCATATAATTTAATTCTGGTTTTTACGTGGATATAAAATCTATAATTTGATTGGATAAAAAAAATATACTTTATATCGTATAAATGTGTTGCCTACGTCACGATGACTTGCGTCAAAACGTATCGATCCGCATAACGTTACATTTAAAATTTGTACAATTAAAAGTCATTTTCTACGGGCAATGATCTTTTTTTTTACACTTAATGAATGAAAATTAAATTATAAGGAATGAATTTAATAGCTACCCAATTTATACGGTATAAACTGGATTGAAACAGTTTACGCTTTTTTATAAACCTCTTCGCCTTTATAAATCGTAAACTGCCCCAACACACTTAAAACCGTTTAAATTATGTAGTTATTAAATTCATTCCTTAAGTAGAGCTTTGATCTCAGTTTTGCCCCATCCTAGCTCATCGGTTACCATTAGAAATTGCAGTATACAGTACAAATTACGACTAAATGTTTTTCTGCGATTCATAAGAATTATGATTTCATGTAATTTCCGATGTATTTTTAACTTTGATCTCGTTAGAGCCCCACCCTTACAATTGAGTCCATGATTTGAATTCATTTCAATCTTACTGATGGTTGGACATACTGGCATAATAATAAAAGTTGTTTTGGATTTAATGTCCTTGGAAAGAATAATTTTCAAGGCAGACGTGTTATAAAGTCTTCCAAAAATTTGGCGACATTTTGAACATTTTAACGATTTTATGGTAATTTCTTTTGGCAATGTTAGATATTTGTTGGTGGAAAAATGACGACAGAGAGCAAAGTTTATTCCTGCAATATTTTAAAGTTTGGCATGAAACTCTGGAAATCGCCAGCGGACACTAAAATGTGTCAAATTCAGCAGAGGAACAAAGGATGGTAGACCGATAAAAATAATCCACTATCCGGATTCCCAAGAGTTGTGAGGGAGAAAAATAGCATCTGTAAAGGGAATCAGAAAATTCCCCAGCAGGGGTGCATCTGAGAGGATGGGAAATATCAATAATCCCTTTTTATAGCCCTATATTGTGATTTGAACAAATTTGAATATTTATTGCATAAAAATTCTTCCATAATAACATAACTCATAGTATGATCCCCGATTAAGGCCCCACCCTTGAACTGGGGGCCATAATTTGAATTTTAAATTAAATATACTCACGATGAAGAAGCAAATTTATTATTAAATTTTGTTTTTCATCTGGTCAAGTGGTTCTTGATATGAATATTTTTAATTAACCCCACCATATTTTCATCTTTTCCAAGTTATTTTCCCCTAAAGAGTTTATTTGACAAAATCTGACTCTACTTATACACTATGGTACTCTTCGATCAACAAAGGTCAGTGAAGCAGTTCTTCGCCAAAAGTGTTGTAATATTTTACATGTATTTTTCTTCTTCTTTTTTTTTGTCAATGATTATGTACATTAGAAATATCAAGTACCAATACAGAATACAATTTCTAATGATTTTTAGGTTTTTTTCCCGTGTTGATACATATAGTCATTGCCTTGAAGAGGATTCGTTATCTGTTAGCAGACTTAAAGAAACTCAGTCACCTATGGTAGTTCATCTAACTTCAATTTTCATGATTATGACGAATGAATGATCAGAATACAATAAAAGGTGTCGTAAATTTTAGCAGAGGTGTAAGATGCGACAATTATAGCCTTTCTTTTAAAGTACGCACTTAAAATAATTATGAAACCATATGGGCGGGACAAATGTCAGTGTTACACAGTTTTACCTTCAAGGATTTACTTTTTGATGAAGAGGCTCACAAATTTGCTGACTCGTTTGACTGCATATTTAAAGACAAGGTAACGTCCACTGCATCTATTAGTGTCTTGTACACTGCATCCGCAGTTCCGAAACATTGAATATCAGCAACAAGGGTGACATTTTCTGCATTGAGTTTGGACTTTATAATAAAATATAACATGTCTTCGATGTTTCAAGCAAGCAAGCAATTGCAGGCAATTCGTAATCAATTAAAACAAATGGATAAACAGTACAGAGATGGATTTAAGACAGAATATATGGAGGATTCTTCCGAAGCAAAAAATGATGATTCAAATCAACTTCGTTCTTTGGAATTTGCTAACAAGGTACAATTATATGTTTTCTTTAATTTAAAGAATAAAACGATTATTTTCAGTCAAGACACCATCGTTAAATGTTCAAAACCTCAAAGGAGGATTTTTTTTTTACCTAAGTGTTTTTTTTCAATTATTTTTTTTTTATCTTTAAATATCCAGAGAAAGGGAACTAGGGATTTAGAGACTTGCATTGAAAAGGTGATGCTAAAATACTAAATCAATAACATATATCGGCATATTTTGAAGGTTTATGTTGCTAGCCAAAATTGGTATCGAACAGATGTTTAAAAAGCTATATTATATTACAAAAATATAATATGCACTGCAATAAATTTTAAACAGAAATATACTACAGAGTATCTATGCTCCGAAGCTAAGTGCGTCCATTTCAATGGATACAATCGTTCCCCTGAAAGTTTAAATAAAAACACATTGATTTCCACTGCTTCACATTGAAGGTACGATAGAAACGCAAGAAATAGAATATCTTTTTTTAAAATTTTTTTTGTTCAGTGTAATTATCATTATGTTTTGTTTGATATGATAATTTCTGCTGTACATTCATCGATTAAAAGAACTTATCTAGTAAGTCAACGACATCATAAATCAGGCATGCATTAATTTTGGTTTGGAATCAGACGCCCCAAGTGTGTGAATGCAAGTCTTGTTTTTTGTTTAATTAAATTAATTATACATAAGGATAAAAGTCCCGAATGTTATTCAGAAGGTTTAAGAAATAGGGACACGTGTCATTGAGGTTACGCTTATGGAGATTTGAAATTGATCATGTAAGCAAAAAAGTTACGCAAACAACCACAAAACTTTTTTTTCTTCTAGATATATCCTTTTAAAGTCACTGACGAGAATATCCTTTTCAGCGGGCGTGAAAAATTGCTTAATAGAGACCACGGATAAAAGTCATAGATAACATCAAAATATTGCTTATACAGGGCTGTAAGAAGGGCGAAGAGTTAAATTACAAAGGTATTAAACAAAGTACCCTCCTTACTGCATCGTAAAATTTTGAATCATGGTTTTTTGGGGTTTGCTTATTTGTTAATTTATGTCGACCTAATTCACGTCTGGAATTCGAAATTTATAATATGCATATAAATGTGCATCGATAAGAGAAACGAAAATGCCTATTTGGAGAACGTGAGAAGTCTGAGGAAAACACTCAATTTGTTGAATATGCCCCTCATATTTACTTTTGAATAATAAACAAGATAAACAGTAACGTGGAAGGATATAAAGAATTAAATATTATTATTCCATTGTTATCAACAGTTTTTCTCGTTAGACACGAACGTTATTTTTTTTTCTTTGAAAGTCTTGATACATATGCATTAAGCTTGTTTGAAGTCTTCTTTTATTGTTTATAGTTTTATTTAATGTCCATTGATAAAGTATTTTCTCATATAATACTTGTCCGTTCGTGGATTACTTTTTAAAGTTTCGAGTTTTAAAAAATGAAATTCTTACACCTCGGATCTTTGCTGTTGTGCTTAATCACGTGACCGTATGCACCTTATGTAAGCTTAAACGTGATATACCGCATTTTTGTTGCATCGTTTTTATTGCCTCTTCTTTTTTCACAAAATAACAATCTGCATATACACGATTAATCCCCTCGCAAGAAGTTGTTGGGGATATAGTAACGCGCTTGTTTGAGTGTGTGAGTGAGTGCAAAAGTTTTACATCGGGATCAATCATGGCATTTTGCTGCCTTGCATAATTTTGAATATTTGTTATTATTCTACTTTTTTTCGTTAAGTTTTGTATTGCAATCACAGAAATATACATTTGTAAATCAAAACAAATTAAAAATAAGATTCGGTATTTTAACATTATTGTTCTTTTCTTTTAATGTACAATGTAAATATTGAATTGTATGCAATAGGCTTCAGAATTATTCTTTCCTCGACTCAAAACTTAAATGCTTAATAATAGAAATATCAGGGATAAAAATATCATAAATTAAAATTTTGTAGATTATGTGACATGTTTCCTTTAAATATGAATAAACCATGTAAACATGATGTATGTTTCGACTAAAGCAACCATGCATATATGCACTTACGTTTCGAGGATTATTCTCAGTACTTCAAGCTGCGAGAATAAAATGACCCTAATTAGCATGATTTTTCTTTCTCATTTTCCTTTTTATTGAATTGTATCCTTAACAATAATTCAAATGTGTTTTGTGATTGATTGCTATAATGAAAACTCAGTTAATTATATAGATTTACTGATGAAAAATGATTAGGAACCAGTGGCAGTCGATAAGAATTTTGTATCAAACTGCTTTTTACAAGCAACCGTTTGCTTTTGTTCTGTTTTGAGTGATGACTGTTTTGTAAGAAACAGGCCTCTTAGAAATGTGTTCTGCGAGGGATGGTTAGTTTTGTGCTATCCTTGTTATTCATATATTACAGCGCCTTTTAATAAAGATCATCAAATAATTATATTTCGTGCTCTTTCATTTTCGAGACTTATAGGTATTGATATACATGTACATATACATTGTGTAATTTCGATTCATTCATATATGTATATTCATTCAGACGCGTTATATTTAAATTGACAGTGTATTGTACAAGGCACTCAAGAGGTTACATGTACTTGTAGATATAAAACTTGCGGGTATCGATGTCTTTCAAATTGTTAAATAAAAATCAACTTTCGCGATATCATTTTTTTTTTGCAGAATTTTATGTGGCATATTATTTTTCAGGCTGGGACGAATGAGGAAACATCGGATAGTACTTCTGCTACGCAAAGCATCACAGAATCATCGAACGTGCAGTCGCTTTTGGCAGGGCAAAGTTATTCACCTGTTACTGAATTTGAGCATGTCGAATCTGTGCTTTCCACACTAATAGAGGATTCACACGGAGACTCGCAGGAAATTATGCCTCTATCCCATGAATTACGCCAAGCCATTACAAATATGGAAGACATTGAAGATGTATGTAGCAATATCACTTCAAAATAAATATAGGACATATTATTATTATTAATAGTTCGCCCTTCTTCGTGTATTAAAGTTTAAAGAGAGATAATTATAGTACTCATTTATAATTATTTTTAATCCTTTGTTTTATACATTGGGTTAATTTTATACCTATGTATGAACCAAAACCGTGTGAACATCTACTGAGGTATAATCATTTTGACATGACATGAAATAAGAGTGTTTGCTGCTTTAAAATGTTTTTATGAGTAAAAGAGTTAAAAATGTCATTTATATAAAAAACTTAATGCTTTTATTTCACCAGTTCATGGTCAAGCACAATAAACATATCAGTCATTGTAATTCGGTTGTTAACCTGTACGTTCAAATATTCGTAAGATTTCCCCTAGAATTTCAATTCATTCATCTTTACAGGTTGACAGCCTAATTGGCGATGTCATGAACTCGGTCCAGATTGATTCATCGTATGATGAGGATCTTCATTGTATTGAACAGGCCGTGACATGCACAATAGTAGGTTACCACATATATATTCAGTGCGACTAGACTTCCGTACAATTTCCCACATCACTGAACATTTCTCTAATTAGTCAGAAAACATATTTTTTCATGCAGTTTGAAGGTCTATGATGTTTTCCCACCTTTGACAGAAATGTAACGTTTTCTGAAAGAGAAAAAAATGTAAAGGAGAAAAAGAATATTATTATCATTCTTTAAAGCTGATGTCCAAATATTAGACGTTTGAACAGAACATTTTTCACATTAACTCATTACTAAGATTAGAATCTATTCAATTTTTCATTCATAAACAACATGGAAACATGCAATTTCGAAAAAAAGAGAAAAAACACTTCATGACTCAAAGGTCATTATTTATAACCATAAGACTAATTCATACATTTGCTATTTCCTTAATTGGTTTTATGCTTTTCATTTTCTTGAGATAACTTGCACGTATTCATTTACAAAACACACACACCTACAAATATTAAAAATTTATTTTCTATGCATTTGTTGTTGTTTTTTTCCCTAGAGCAAGACCAACAGTGAAGGGAATCAACCAGTGACATTTTCGTCGAAAGAAGAAGAAAGAACGTGGAAAAAGGAAAGAATTAAGAAGGACAACCATAATATTAGTAAGTATACAGAACATAAAAAATTATACAATATCAGTCCCTAAACACTCATATTAGTGTTTAATATGAGTGTGCACGTACATGTATTTATCAGTCCGTATACACTCATATTATCAACATCGGTACAAATCCATACAGTCATGTATCATCAATAAGATAGATTGTAACCACTCATATTATCAATAACATCAAGTTCACATTCAATACCAAACATCAGTACAATATAAGTAGACATCAAATTAATCAATAAAATGGAAAGTAAACACACATATTATCAATAAAATCATCAAGTACACGAGTTATTTTACCTATAACACCACTGTTAAGTACCCATACATATTATCATTAAAATAGCATGTAAACAAATTACATGTATCAATAGTACCTTTAAGTACACAGTCATCTATTTTATCAATTGAATAGAAAGTAACGCTCGTATTATCCAAAACTTCAGTAAGTACACATACATAAATAAAATAGAATGATTTTTTTTCGAGATAATAAACAGTAATTAAACTCAAAAGTCCATGGTAACAATACAAATCGGTAGCAGAAAATAAGCGTTCATATTATCCTTAACGCCAGTAAGCACACATCCATATTACCAATAAAATAGAAAGTTAACGCTCAACCAGTAAGCAAATATCCATATTATCAAATGACAATAAAATAGAAAGTAAACGCTCATATTATCCACGATATCAGTAAGGACACATATTTTCAACAGCATCAGTTCGTGCACACTCGTATCGAGAAGCTATAAAATTGCGTTCTAATGATTGATAAAGTGAATTTTCTGTTGTACAACAGTTTGAAAAGTGAAAAAAAAACTGTTAAAAAATGATAACACTAATGTCAAAAATCCTTTTTTGAAATAAAAAGACTCGAGTAATTTTAGATGTCCATCCCTTCATATTCGAAATTTGTAGATATTTTTTCACATTCAAGATCTAATCTAATAATTATGTACGAAAAGGATAACCCTGTCTATTCACTTCAGGAAATCATTTATTACATACAATTTTTATTATAACAATATGTATGATTTATTACAATTTAATTTACCAGTTGAGCGAAGGCGAAGATACAACATCAACGACAGAATTAAAGAATTAGCAACACTTTTACCACCAAATACACATCCGTGAGTATTTTTTAATAACTTCTCGCATATTGACATAAATTTCATTTGTTTTGTTCACAAAGGATACGCTAAATATTTTGTATGAAATATTATGCAAGTTTTTTCAATGTAATAAATGAGTTTCAAAATATTTTATCTAAATAAAAAAAATATATTTTTAGTAACTAAGGGAATATTTAAAAAACTGATTTGTCTTTTGGAAAAGTTAACAGAATTGATGATTTTGAGATTTAAATTAAGTATGACACTTTAATGATCAAAAAATAGCTCTCAAATATAAAAAAAAATATTAAAAAAATAAAAGCAATAATGAAATAATGCACTTCAATGACATCAGTTTATACCTTATACTTTTTTATGCCCCTGGATCGAAAGATCCCGGGGGTATATTGTTTTTGTCCTGTCTGTCTGTTTGTCTGTCTGTTGTCAACTTTAACCTAGCCCATAACTATTGCGCTGTCAAGGGTAAGGCTTTAATATTTGACGTGAGAGTTCATTATGACAAGACCTTTCATTGGGTACCACCATATATGACCTTGACCTTGGAGTTTGACCCAGTTTTGCAAAATTTTAACAAACTTTAACCTTGGCCATAACGTTTGAACGGTTGGTGCTAGGGCTTTCATACTTGACATGTGTAATCCTTGTGACGAGACCTTCCTTTGGATACCAACAATTGACCTTGACCTTGGGGTTTGACCTACTTTTGGAAAACTTTAACCTTTGCGATCACTTTTGAACAGTTGGTGCTAGGGCTTTCATATTTCACATTTGTAATTCTTGGGAGAAGGCCTTTCCTTTGGCACCATTAAGTTTGACCATTTGACCTTGATGTTTGACATACTTTTGAAAAAAAACTTTAACCTTTTCCATATCTATTCAATGGCTGCTGTTAAGCCTTTCATATTTCACAGGTTTATTCCTGCTCGGGACAAGACCTTACTTTTGGTATCAACATATTTGATTTGCATTTGAGAAGGTTTAACCTTTGTTATAAGTTGCCATACGGGGGCATCAGTGTTTCACAAACACATCTTGTTCTCTGTTTTTGCGAGGTTAATTTTACAGGTTCAATCATTTACATTGAATGATTCAGATCTACATTGTACTTTCTGCAGATTTGCACCTTTTTTTTTTAAAAAGATGTTTTTATTATTATTTTAGAGCAATGAAATTGAACAAAGGTTCTATTCTAAAAGCGTCAGTGGAATATGTGAAGGAATTGAAAAAGGACAAACAGAAACTTATTTCTTTTGAAGCCAATCAGAAAGCGATGGAAGCTAAATACCAGAAAATGTTGATAAGAATATTTGTAAGTTATTCCTAAAACAATAAGTATATTCATGATATTTGAGTTATTTAATTTAAAAGACAACCATATGTTTTCCATTCTGACTGTTAAGATAAAATAATATGCAAAATTCTGCATTTGCTTTGTAATTTTTCTTACAGCATGTGTAAATGAATGATCGATATCTATTTCAGCAACTTGAACTGAAAATGAAATTATATGGATTAACGGAAGATATTGATCGTAGTCAGACAAAGAGGAAGAAGCGACCCAGAAGAAGGCTTTGCGAAATTGATGCCATGGTGGAGGATCTAATGAAAAACAGCCTGCCAGAAGCAACGAAATCCGATGGAAAATCAATGAATCAAACGGTTGATAAACAATCGACTGCAGACATTCAACATTCAAGTAAAATCACAGCAAAGTCGGCAAAAACAGGGTTGAGAAACTTTATTAGCAAGAAGTTAGCATGCGATAGCACAAAAAACAGGAATCAAATCAAAACATCGAACAGTTCACCAAAACTGGAAATTGGAGCCCCCCGTCAATATTCCAATTCAAGATCTGAAGAGAATGGGAATATAAATCACGTTGAGAAAAACATCAACCAACCCTCTACGCTATCACCTGAAACTCCGATAAATATTGTTCAAATTCCTGAACAAACCGAAGCATCAAATCATGAGCATACAAGTTATTCACTTTTCCATTCTCCATCAAGTGCTGAATTGAGCTTAGATCAATGCAATCTTTTGCTAGATTTGTTTGGAGCAGACAATATGACAATACTTCAACCGGAATCAGAGGCTGAAGTCACCCCCGTCTCTTCTCCATCTCAAATTGAAGACAAGTGCACGTCTCCGGTTCTATCCCCCGTTACACTGACGACAAATTTGCTTGAAGCATTACTTCGGAAGTCCGATGGAAGCTCATCTTCTTCAGAGACGAATTCTTTGGAAACATCCACAGAAAGTACATAATGGCTTAAAAACATTTTAAAGATTGTTTCACAGAAAACTTTATCCATGAACAGTTCATATGACTCAACCTTGACCTTTAAATAAGACAATCAATCAGTAATAGAGAATAGAATCACAGTTGTAGCGTTTCAGTAATCATATAGGATAATATTTAAATATATACGAAGCTCACTTTTGTTTGTATACATAAAAAAGAATTTATTTTTTGGAAGTATCTCATTTTTTTATGTATATATTCTTTCATTAAAGTGTACTGAAAACCATGACCTCATTCACAACATGGAGACTCATTAAAACACCATGAATTAAATCACTCACGATCTGGTTCGAAACGAGAATTTTCTTGGTTACATAAAAGTTCCACATATGACACAGAGTCGCAACGGCAATAAATATCTCAAAAGAAAAGCCAGAAATGTACTATTAACACCGTTTCATAACAGGAAAAGTCAAGTCAACAAATTTCATAACACCCAGACACGCATCAAAAATCCTGAATAAGCTCCATGCTGCGTTTTAAAGTTCATCGTCGTTTATTTTAAATAGATAATCCCGTTCTTATCTCGTCAGTCTCAAATATCTTAACATGTCATTTTTTTTTAAATGACGAAGAATATTTGTAAATATAGTCTTACAGTGATTAGCATTTTCATAACTTTATTCGGATGTAGTGATTTACGAGTTTTGCCTCCTGTATCACTAATAAATTTCTTCCTTTGATATACTGTTGAAATTTAATACCGGTAATGTAACTTTGACATTCAATAGCCCAATTTACTATTCGTTATCAAATTGCCTCATATACCGTTATATTTAGCACTTCTAAGTATAAAAAATCTTTCTCAGTTTTGTAGAGAGTTTATTTTGCAGAGTGCTCAATTTTTAAATATATTTACCCTCTCTATATAAATGGAGTGCTCCGAATTCATACGATGGATACATGAATCTAAGAATAAAGAAAGATCGGTCATCCCTCACTCACACGCCCATTTAACTACAGTGTGTACTAGATTATGGACACTGCCAATACATCAGCCTCAGTATTATATGTCTGTGGTATACAGCATATTACTTTACATTTACATAACTGCCTCTTATGTTACAACTTTAAATTGTAATCTTTTATTTTTATATTTTTGTATATATTAAAAAGCATTATTTTTTATGTAAATTGTACATGTAATAACTTTTTAAATAAATATATTTTAAATCATATCCTGTTCCTATTCATTTAGTGGAGATAACTCTTTTATTATTATTATTATTAACTTAAGGTACAGGTTCTCATATGGGATTTCTAGTGGTCAAAGGTGCAATATTTTGAAATAAGGATGCTGGATTACACTAAAGCAAAAATCTACAAGAGATGAATTATTATGATTAAAGTTCATAATTAATAAATGGGGTAATTTGGAAGGAACCTAATACACGTTTTCCATTTACCTACCTGACTTAGGCTACATAATTGTAGACGTTTGACATCTACTTCTCCACTTCATTAAATTTATGTGACAAGTGTATACAATGGTTATGTATTTTAATATAAATTAAAAATGTAAGACAATATTCATAATTAATTTATTATAATTGCATAATGTTAAAGTGAATAGCCAAAAAAAATCTATGCATTCTCAGTGGAAAAATGGTATCAATATAATGTGGACAAATTTGCTTTCGAATGTGTTCTGATATACTTGATGAAATTTTGGAGAAAAAATTGGAGGATGAAAAAAGACGAAAAAATTAGCCCCATTAATTAAGCAGTTACTTTTTTACTTATTTTCTTTCACACATTTCTCGCCTAATATTTACAACATTCAGGTGTTTTTGGGTTTTAAGACGTAGTATTTTTTGGTCAGGTCTGAATGGTGTTTATTCATACCACATACCAAAACCGCATTCAGATCAACTCAGAATTTCGATGAAGCAAAGTGGCAGTTTTGTAAATGCATTTCTTACGGTCATTGGATTTTCACCTAGTTTGGGAAGCTTAGCAAAGAGTCAAGAAGCAGTAATCTGCACAATAAAAACTGCTGTCACGCGAGAGTTCCGGTTGGATGAACTCTCATTTGTTATAAATTATACAACCAAATAACGCTTTTATTTATGCCAAAGGTCCTTGTCTATTTAGCAGTGACCTAAGCCATTTGTGAAATAGTATGCTTTTTATGGATCATAAAAATATAATTTTACGCAATGTCATCAATTCTTCGTTGATTAAAAAGATTCAGGATGAGAGAACACTCCTACCGTAAAGACATTTCTGTCACATGTATCAGCTGAATCTGCATAAGAATACGATCATAATAAAGAGCTTGATATTGCAAATGCTTTTGAGGAGAGAAATAAGTACATGTATGTGTGGAAAAAAAATACGAATAAATAATTCATTGTAAAGCAAAATGATAATGACAAGTACACACACACACACACACACACACACACACACACACACACACACATATATATATATATATATATATATATATATATATATATATATATATATATATATATATATATATACATACATATATATATTAAGAATAACATTATTGTTGGCAAAAATAGGTATGTACTTTGATGTTCGAGCCCACTCGTCTGTACTTTGATCTGTTGTCGATTTATTTTAAGATACTGTACATGTATTAATGAAATATGAAGATAACGAACAGTATTCAATCTCGAAAGTCTAATGAAACGATACAAATTTGGAGCAGAGAAAACACGGACCTCAAAATTTAGAGGTGGGATCAGGTGCCACGGAGGAGTAAGCATCCCCTGCCGACCGGTCACACTCGCCTCGTGCTCCCTGTCATGATCAGGAAACAGAAACTGGAAAAATCCGTAGACAGTTCAGTGTATTAATAATGGCCTAACAATTAGTATGAAAAAAGTCAGTCAGTAATATTTTTACTTGTTAATACATTTCATGTGTGTGAGTACCACTCACGGTAGCCTAGTTGTAGGGCTCTCGCTTCGTGATCGGGAGTGCCAGTTCGATTCACGTTCGAGTCAAACCTAAGACGTAAACATAGGTAGTGACTGTTCCTTCGCTAAGCTCCCGGCGTTGCCACGAAAAAGGAACCATCACTGCTCGATGTCCCTGAGTGCGGAGCAGAGCTCTAAACATGAAGCCCTTCACCGGTATATGGTGATGTCTCTATAAGAGTGAAAAATTCTCAAAATAGACGTAAAACTACAACCAAACAATCAATAAATTGTAAAAGTGAAACACGTTCAGTTTTTTTTTTTCACAATTTTTACATACAAACATGCTGTATATATAACACCTTCATGTATGCATTCTTGGACCCAAGAAAATCACAGAGAAGTTTAATTCCAAAGGGAAACTTTTTAATGAAACAATTATGCTATACAATAACATTGCTCATGTATATCAGCCAAGGACTCTACCTGGTACACAAGTTGTTCTCTATTAGAAGAACCCTAAAGTTACAGGATTCTTACATCTCGCAAGTTGATAGGCAGTAATTTTGTTAAACACATCTGTAGAACCAAAGATTTCAAAACTTCAAATGATAGTATAGATTTAAAACCTTCAAATGATATCAGATGAGGCATTTTTCTTCAGAAAATTGGGGAATAAAAGTTGATTTTCTATCATTATCAATTTTGGGATTTAATTTTTCAAATAATTCTCTTAATTTTGGTCTAAAAAGTAAACATAATTTTAAGTTGTTTTTTTTAATGATTTTGACTAAGGAGAAAAATTTTCAAGATATTAGCTCTGTGGCATATTGTGAAACTGGTTGCATTTAGATTTCTTAAACAAAGACGTCTTAATGTATGTTAGCCTATCATTTTTTGTTAATTAAACATTTACAGGAACCTTTATGTATAATTATTTGTTAGTATATGGGTCCTTAGCTTTAATTACTATACATTCCGTAACAAAGTTTGAAATATGACATAATAAATTAATAGTATTGTAAATCTGACATCGCCCCAAGACAGTCAAGGTAGTTTGTCCTTAGTCCCTAGAACAAGAGTGGGATGACCGAGCGGTAAACAATTAAGGATGGATTCTTATCAGGTTAATGACAAATTAAAATATTCAAAGTACATGTATATTTGCGTAAACGTCTTCCATACTGAAAAAAAAGGAAATTCAATAAATATTTTCTTCTTGTCTTACAATTGATCATCTTGAAATAAAAAAGATAAATTAAACTTAATTTAAAATCCGCCCCGGGGACTATATTTTTTTTTTTTGGGGGGGGGGGGGATGGAAGACCTTAAGAGAATAGCATGTACATAACAGAAAAATAAATTTAGTTCACTTTTTTAAACAATCAGATATTTAAGTATTTCCTGAACTAAGATAAATGCATAATAAGGAACTTAAGTTGTTATAAAATAGCTAAAATAATAATGATTTTCGAAACGTTCTACAATAAAAAATCAGGGATATTTTTTAATATATTCCCTGTACATGTTTAAGGTAAAGAAAGGGTAATCATTGTTGATGATACATTTTTTATTTTCAAGAAAAGGAACATCGGCGTCTGTGGCGCTGTTGAGGTTAAAGTTTAAAATGCATTACAATCCCCCTTTTTTAAATCGTAAAAATCTATTAAAAGGCGTGAAGCACATTTTTTTCATAGTAGTTTAAAGAAATAGTCAATTTATTAAAAGCATTTTTTAAAAAATTTAGTTTAACATTTATTTTGTTTAATTTATTCTCAGAAGCAGGTTCTACCCCACAACCTATGAATGCACGTATCTTGAATTTAAATCACAATAACATTTGTAGTGATGAATGAGACTGCAATTTTTCAACGATTCTTTTTTATACAGATCTGGTCATTGCAAGAGTACATGTAACTCTAGATTTACGCGATTCATCGATTCACTCGATTATAGATCGTTCTATTTTAACAATACACATATCAATATCAGCAATCTTGTAATGAAATCTTTCTTTCAAAAAGATATTAATAAGCCCCAGTTGTGAAGACAAAACGTTACGGTCATTGGTCTCAATGAAAAGAAAATACAAGGTTCTCTCACGTGTTCGCCCACACGTTTACGAAACAAAACTTCACATCGAAGTGTTGACATAAATACGATCTGAAGAAATCACAGCTTGAATAACATCTCCACTTTTAAGATTATAAAATGTCGAAGATTAATATTGCTTGATATATATATATATATATATATATAAGCGTAATATTATGGTAGAATCAGCCGAATTAACATGCTACCTCAATGTTTTGCTTTATTATCATTTTATGTTTGATGTTCTTGACGATATCGGCTTTCAAAAAGGTATACGAGATTTCAGGCTCCTGAGAGGGCGAAATTAATGATATTTTGACAAGTACACCTAAACCTAAGGATGTAAACAAATGATTGAATAATCGTCATGCTATCGACTAAAAAATATTACATGTTTTCAATTCCTTGACAGAATTACTGCTAATACAAATTTATAGAATCATTGGCTGGCTTCATATGTACAATGTACATTATACTCACAGGAATATACAGGGAAGTCCAAATTTCATGATAAAAAGGCGACAGACAAAGTACATTTACTTATCTTATAAAAATTATATACAATGTATAAAATCGACCCATAGATATATATCGACTTAACAGAAAAGCATACAGACCTAAGCATAAAGTAAGTGGTCGGTATATGCTTTTCTGCGAAGACGATACATCTATATATTGACAGAATGAAGAGGAGAATGAGGAAACAAAATTTGAAAATAACTGGAAGGAACATTTAAAAAATTAAAAATATATATATATTATTTAAATTTATATAGACACTAAATATTCAAAGTAAGCTGTAATAATGCCATTGCGTTTCGTTTATACTAAGACTTCGGTCTTGTCCGAAGGAATATATATGGCCAAGGTTAAATTTTTTCAAAATTAGATCATACTCCAAGATAAAGGTCATGAGATCAAAAATACTAGAACCAAAGGAAAGTTTTTGTCAAAAGCAATCACAGGTAAAATATGAAACCCTTAGCACCATCTGTTTAAAAGTGATGGCCCAAGGTTAAAGTTTGCAAAAGTAGGTCAAACAAAACAGATTAAAATGTTGGTATCTAAAGAAAGGTTTGTTAACATTGAATACAACACACGTAAATGCAAAAGCCACAACAC